TTCTGTGCCTGGGGTAATTGATGACTTCCAAAATGCCAGCTACGATGAAAGTTTGCAATTTATATACTTACATAATCTGCCATCTGCATTTGACACCGTCTAGCACTGTTCCTCTGACTACATTCTCCTGGTTCCCTTCCTAGGGTTCCCTATGACCACTTCTACTCACTCTCTTTCACTGGGTTCTTTTCCTTCACCCATTCTTTAAATGTAACCATTTCCCAGGACTCTGGCCTTAGCCCTCATTCCTTCTGTCTTGACATGTTCTTAAATAAGCTCCTGCACTTCTGCAATTTTAATTATCCCCAGTAATCCAACACTCTGTCCTTATCTCTCTTCCTACATATAGATAGAATATCCTAATGACTTCCTGGATCTTTACTTGGATGAACTTTCCAAACACACCACAGGCTCAGCAATATGACACTTAGCACATTATTTTCCTTTCCAATCCACCTCTTTCTTACTGATGCTCTGTTCAGTTGGTAGCAACACCATATACTAGCTGAAAGAGCGTAAAAATAGCAGTGACATTTTTTAAAATACTTGATAAAAACTTGACCATGAAAAGAAGAAATATTTGCATTTATTTTGACATATGTAATCAATCACGCATTGCATTTGGGACTAATTCATCCAATTAGCTCTAAGAAAGGGCTCTAGAAAATTTGTTAATTAGTGGTCCATTGTTGACTGTCAAGGAAGCAATTACAGTAAATTGCAACCTGATTGCAGTTAGTTTAGAAGTGAACAGAAAGTAAAGAACTTGAGACCACTCTTTCAAGTTTGACAACAAAGAGATAAGAAAGGTTAGATGAATGTCTCTAGGAAAAGCAGATGATAAGGAAATCATCTTTTAGGGCAGGAGAAACTTGAGCAGTTTTGCAGGCTGAGGGAAGGAAGGTGATAGAGAGGAAGAGATTGAAGATAGAGAAAAAAAGAGAATAGGAATTGAACACTGACAACCATGAAGAAGACAGTTCTTTCCTTCTTGTAGTTGTATTATATATTCTGTAGATGGCATTTGCTTTAATAAATACACACCTACTGTATATCATTCATTATTACAGTATTGATTAAATAGCAAAAAAAAAAAGATTATTGAAATATTTGTATGCATGCAATCTTTACCCTTTACATTTATTTTGGTATGCAAAAATCATAATTAAAGCTAATTTGTACAATTGGCTAAATCCCTTTTCCCTTTCAAAATTTCCATTATATGTTCCATTCTTAATGAAGAATCCTTTTAATTCAACCTACATATAACTTATATCTTTGAATTAAAACTTTTTAAAGAAATCTTTATTCTGAAATGAACATAGGTATCTTCATTTTTCAAGTTTCTATGCCATTAATTCATATGGTTCCAATTTTGTCATTGTTACTTTCTTGAAAAATTTTCCTACATGAAACACTATACCTATGGGTATGATATTCTGTTTTCCTGTTTAGTTTCCAAGTTCAGTGGTTTATTTAATTCAAGTGAATAAACCCACTTTTTCTGTTCTACCTTTGTGGGGAAAAGAGAAGAAGGAGATAGATAGGGTTAAGGAGAGATGACAGAATGTCTGCAGAGAGGAAGGGTTATCAGCCCAGGGTCAAAGTTCTTAAGAAAACTACAGTGGAGAAATCTGATTTGATTGTGTTAAAATGCAATCAGCACTACCAAAGTGTATTTCACATAGAAATCCAGAGTGGTGAGAAGCTCTTAAATGGATTACTATTGCCGAGGCTTGATTCCTCGTCCGGGTAGTTCTTCAGGATACTTGGAGAGAAGCTACCTTTGGGGCTTTTCAGGGATTGGACACCTATATCCTGAACTACAAGCTTCTTACAGAGTGAAGCATAGTCAGGGAACGATGGCTATTTCCTCTCTCTCTCTCTCTCTCTCACTTCTCCCACTTTTGAAATCCTGATCCTTTTAGCTCCACATCACTAATGCTCCCTTCCCAGTTGCACTTCAATGAATGATGCATCAAATCTGCCATAAGCAGGCTGCATATTGAA